TCCTGTTTGCCCCCCTCCTCCTACACCTGACTTCCTGTTTGACACCTGACTTCCTGTTTGACCCCCTCCTCCTACACCTGACTTCCTGTTTGCCCTCCTCCTCCTCCACCTGACTTCCTGTTTGCCCCCCTCCTGCAGCAGTGTGTGGTTCGGCTGCAGACGCTCACACAGAATCAGTCTGGATGACTCCGGGTCATCAGCTGCGTCTGCAGAGGAACAGGCGGAGCTGGGTGCTCCAGCCCGGACTGGCTGAGCTGGAACAACAGGGAGCGCACGTGACAGGAGCACGCACGAGTCCATGTGACCTCTGCAGGGTACAGCCTGTGCTCCGGCACTCGGCGCCGAGGGGAGGGGCGGCCGCTCGCGTGTGTCCGTCACATGGCTGTGCACGCCGCAGGACGGCCACGCTCGTTCACGTGAGAGGGAAACATGCACGCACACACAGACTCACACACACACACACACACACACACACACACAGAGCCGGGCCCCTGCTGTGCGGCGGGAAAAGAGCCGTGCAGATGTTCCAGCTGTGGCTCGAGGTGTGGCCCTTTAACCCTTCAGCCCTTTTTGAAGGTCACATGTTTACAAGCAGAACAATAAAGTTATAAAGTTAGAGCTGATCTAACAACACAACCATACCTGCAGGTGTGATGACGCAGTTTTCTGATTTAATCTCTGTATCCTTTGATCCTTTCATCAGCTGCTTTCTTCCTTCACACGTTCAATATTTACATCAAACTCTTTTCTTTTCTTACATTTCTGTCTTCATTAATCATTTATATTCATATTTTTAATGCAAATCTTCCACAAATATGTTTGTAAAGTTCAACAAGTTTTGTTTTTTCTTTTTTCCAACATTAAACTACAAAAGCAAAAGCTGGATTTTTCTAACAAACTATATTTTTGTAGAACTCTTCACTCATGTTCTTTTTTTATATTTAGATCTTCAGAATGTTTTGCAGAGATTAGAGATTAAAAATGGCTTCTTGATTGATCCTAAATCTGTCAAACATTTCTTTGTTTTACGTTTCCTGATCATAAGAATTCATTTCTAACAGATATTTTAGGTTTTCTTCCTCCAGTTTGAAGTCCTCTAAGATGGTTTTAGATTTAAAAAAAAACTCTTCAATAAAAGAAAAGTTTGTAAATTAAAAAAAAATAATAATCTAAGCGTTTGTGTTGGATTTACTTAAATTGTCAACAGGTTCTTCTACTCAACTGAATTGAGTAAATCTGACACAATTACTTCACATTCACTTATAAAAGAAAAGAAAATTTACTTCAGATTTACTCGATTCGGTTGAGTTAAACACCTGTTGACATAATTCATTTAAGTAAATCCAACGCAAATGTTCAGATTTTTTTTAGATGTTTACATTTACGAGTTTCTTCTGTTTTTAAAAGTTTTAGATTCATGGAATAATAACCAGTGATTTAAAAACTAACATTTTCTCTGTGTATTTTGACTTCTAATGTAAACTAAAAACAGCAGAGCCCCTTTGTTAAACAGATATGCTGAGTCAGCAGAACTTGTTGATTAAATTATCTCATTAGGTGAATTTTCTTGTTGTTGTTTGTTTGTTTGTTTGTTTGTTTGTTTGTTTGTTTGTTTGTTTGTTTGTTTTTGTGTCCTCACTGATCGGCTCATTCTGCAGCTAAAAACCGCTGCTCGGTGTGTTTTTATAGCTTTTCCTGTTTATGTTGGACAACATCCAGAGAGKTTTTTCATTAAATAAAAAGTAAAATAAGCGGAGCGGGTGTTTACAGAACCACAGTGAAGTTCTTCCTCCTCCATCCTCCAGATCGAAGAGGCTGGGAGGAGATGTTTACGAGGCGGGGGGGGTTTTAATAAGCCCGGCTTTAACAGACATAATGAGTCCAATTGTGTTCTGGAGCATTTTATACCCCAAAAAACCCTCTGAAACTCATATATCAAATACACATTTTCTAGAATACTTGTATATCATAGCCAGTACTATCATCTGTGAAGTACCATACATGTTGTGCACACTGCCTGCACTGTTCTGTTATTTCTGTTACMCAAATTTTATTGTTGTTTTCTTTGCTATTTAGTTATTTGCTKTTCAACATTTTGACTTTACACTGTATATATTACCCTATTTTTTATTTACTCTTTGTGCATCTACTGCAAACTGTGAATGTTGTATTCTATATTTTCTTTATTCTTATTCTTTATAGCGAGTCGAAGGGTTTCTTCTCATCCTAAGAATTTCATAGCATTGTTGACTCTTGTTAACCTGCATATGACAATAAATGAATCCTGAATCTGGCTGACTGGGTTGTTAACCCTCTGCCGGCCCCTCAGTCCACTCCCCGATCATCAGAACCCGCACACCTTCAGAGCCTGCAGAGCTGCCATCTGCTCAAAGCATCAACCTTTCCCAGGAAACGTCAGGAGGTAAAACACTAACAGCCTCTCAGGGRCGTCAAAGAACAAAACCAAAACAAGCTGGCATGGTTTTGCTGTTTGCYGAGTTAAAAATAGACTCCAGCAGGAGTTTAAACTTCAATCTGCATTAATTTCAACTCAACAAACAAGATTTATCTTCATGAAAGTTTGACCTGGAGTGAGCTTGTTCTGTCATAAGGCCTTAAAAAAACCATTAAAGTGTCTGTGGCGTCAAATTTTTGTACTACATATCAATGCATTTTTAGAAAGAGGACATTGATAAAATATTGCAAAATAAATTTTATGTCGCTGAGATGAACAGTTGTTGAGATATTTGCCTGTGAAGAAACAGGAAGTGATGTCACAGGGGAATGTCTGCATGTGAACAGAGCGCTGCTACAACAACAGACTGTAGAGAAGAATCTGATGTTTCTTTAGATTATTTTGACTCACTATCAGAGTGCTGAAGAAGAGTTAAAGTTTAAATAAKATTGTTTCAATAAACAAAGATTACAGAGTTCTCTTTCTTAAAGAGTTCCCCTTTGATGTCACTTCCTGTTTCACTTTAGCTGAGCCAAATTCAAAACAAAATCTGCCACTTATGAGACAAAATGAGTTAAATCATGTGTATTTTTCCAACTTTCTTAAATATAAAAATGTTTTGACTTTTTGTATTTGATAGATAGGCATGTCACAGGCACTTTAACGCAGAGGTTCTCAAACTGGGGTCACCGGACTCCCAGAGGTCCGCAAGAGTTATCTTGGGGGTCCTCAAAACATTTCAGTAAATTGTTAATTTTGGTTTTTATTTTTAAAAATGCATGGAGAACAATAAACTAATAAAACAAACATAATAAACTTAATAAGAATATATATTTCCATGGAATTTAGGGGTTGAAATGACAATAAATTATCTTTTAAAACAGCACAGGGTTTATAAGGTGGTCCCAGAAATTTTTTTCGCCCTTGTAAGGGGTCCCCAGACCCAAATGGCTTGAGAACCCATGGTTTAGCATGCCTATCCATCAAATACAAAAAGTCAAAGAAAACACATTTTTATATATGAAAACTTGCATAAAACATGTGATTTTACCCATTTTGTCATATAAATGGCAGATTTTCATTTGAACTTGGCTCAGCCAAAGTGAAACAGGAAGTGACATCAAAGGGGAGCTCTGGTCTTAACAAATACTGAAACAATATGTGAACTCTGACTCTTCTTCATCTTTGATAAGAGACTCTAAATAATCTAAAGAATCAGATTCTTCTCTACAGTCTGTGTCGTTAGCTATTTTATCAACGCTCTGTTTACATGCAGACATTTCCCCACTGACATCACTTCCTGTTTCTTCACATGCAAATATCTCAACAGCTGTTCATCTCAGCGACGTGAAATTATTTCTGTAAAATGCTAAAAATGTTATCTTTCCAATAATGCCTTTATATTTATTTTAAAAAAATCATGTCACAGGCCCTTTAAACAGTTGGTCTACATGAGACATTCTGCAGAGTAAACAACAACAATCACAAAGTGAGTTGG